TTGTCGTGTTTTAACTATGTGGTCTCCTATTTGCCTGGCTCCAAGAATGTCAGGGCTGATGCCTTGTTGTGGCAATACTCTGAGCTGTCCAGGGAGGACTCTGAGCCGACCTCGGTCATAGCTCCGGATCAGATCCTGGCTGCCATTCGTACCAGCCTGACTTCTCCCCTTGGGTGCAGATTTTGGCGGCTCACACTGATGCTCCTTCTGAGAGACCGGCTGGTAGATGTTTCGTACCTAAGGGGCCCTTGCGGAGGAGGTACTGTCAAGGTCCTACCTTTCCTCAGGGCTTGTGCTGCTCCATGTGCTGGCATCCATCTTAGGTGTTTGCAAAGCATTGTGGGATCCTTTATGCTTTCAGCCCTCTGCGGCTCCTCCAGGAGGTGGCGGTTTATCACATTTAAGTCTGCTGTTTGTAGCTGTCCATTGCATTCGTGTCCTGTCTGTTGCACAGCAGCAAGCTCCTGTTCAGTTAACTCATTGCTCTCCTGGATACCGACTTGGCTTTGGCAAAGACTCCTCCGGGTTTCTGACCCCGGCTCTGGCGACCATTCTCCTGGCTTCTGAGCCCGGCTCTGGCGACCATTCTTCCTGGCTTCTGATCCCGGCTCTGGCGACCATTCTTCCTGGCTTCTGACCCCAGCTTTGGCTATGATTCCCGCTGGTTCTCGACTTGATTATCCTGGAAGTCGACCTCGGCAGGAGAACTTCTGTCCTACCAAGTCATTCGCTGTTGCTGTCGGACTTGCATAGACTCTGGCCTTGTTTCTGTGTAAATAAAACTACTTTTAATTGCACCTCCTTGTGTGTCTGGCTCCTTGCTCCCTGACAGGAGGTGAGGATGAGCTGAGCTGTGTGTGGCAATAGGCACACAGCATAGCTCAGGATGGAGCCCAAATATGTGCCACAAAAAGTAAGAGGCTCCCTATGGTGGCAGGTGCAGAAGAGGAGGAGCCTAGAGCTCTGGCAGGGGACCCCAGAAGAGGAGGTTCAAGGGCTCTCTGTGCAAAACCATTGCACAGAGTAGGTAAATACATTGCTCAAAAAAAGTAAAAGGAAAAATTTGAAAACAGATCAGATCTCAATGGGGACAAATCTCCTGCTGGATATCTATACTGATATGGACTGGGTAATGTGTTAGGAACATAAGGATGCCCTATGGTTTGATGGAAATTAAAATTATCAACCTAGAGAGGACTGAATTCAAAGACACCAAAACATGATATCCCAGAGGTGTTCTATTGGATTTAGGTCAGGTGAGCATGGGGGCCATGCAATGGTGATCAATTCCTTCATCCTTCGGAAACTGCCTGCATACTCTCGCCACATGAGGTTGGGCATTGTCGTGCACCAGGAGGAACCCAGGACCCACTGCATAAGCGTAGGGTCTGACAATGGGTCCAAGGATTTCATCCCAATACCTAGTGACAGTCAGGGTGCCATTGTCTAGCCGCCGTGGTGGGCAACCTTTTTTTCAACTGAGCCAAATCTCGCCAAAACCACGATTCAAATTTTGTTTTGAGAGCCACATTTTTTAAAACTGAAAATACATAGGATGGTACACTGTTTTTAGTTTCAATAAGTTTTTATAGTAATTCATCCCCCATAGTAATTCATCCCCCATATAGTAATTCATCCCCATATAGTAATTCATCCCCCATAGTAATTCATCCCCCATATAGTAATTCATCCCCCATATAGTAATTCATCCCCCATAGTAATTCATCCCCCCATATAGTAATTTCATCCCCCATAGTAATTCATCCCCCATAGTAATTCATCCCCCATATAGTAATTCATCCCCCATAGTAATTCATCCCCCCTATAGTAATTTCATCCCCCATAGTAATTCATCCCCCATATAGTAATTCATCATCCCCCCTATAGTAATTCATCCCCCCCTATAGTAATTCATCCCCCTATAGTAATTCATCCCCCTATAGTAATTGATCCCCCATAGTAATTCATCCCCCCCCTATAGTAATTATCCCCCATAGTAATTCATCCCCCATATAGTAATTCATCCCCCCTATAGTAATTCATCCCCCCATAGTAATTCATCCCCCCTATAGTAATTCATCCCCCATAGTAATTCATCCCCCCTATAGTAATTCATCCCTCATATAGTAGTAGTAAGTAAGTAGCAAGTAGTAAGCCAAGTCCCCCCTGTGTCAATTCACTTACCTTTGCTCTGCGCGTTCCTCTCGCCGTGTTCCCGCGCCGTTCCGGTCTTCAGGGGCGACTGTGAGAGGAGCCTAGCTCCTCTCACGTTCGTCACGCTGCCCCCGCCTACACACATCCTGACAGCCAATCACTGGCTATCAGGATGTGAGTGGCAGCGAGACTAGCCAATCATTGCATTTTTTTTTTTTCTTTAATAAATATTTATTAGTTTATCAATCAAAATACAAATCATATTCACATTTCTATTAAAAAGACATTTAGACAATATCCTCCTATTTGCATAAATTATTTAAATCCCTCTCCTCAACCCTCCCTCTTCCTCCCTCCCCCCCTCCTCAGCCTCCCCCCCCCCCCACCTGCCTCTCCCACTCTGCGTTTTTCTCTCTCTTCTCCTTCACACCATACATTTCTGTTATTTCTAAATCCATTTCAAGGGGTGTTTATATCCTCATATATTTCACTTTTCCTCTATACTCTTCCCATTTTTTCCACTTTGTATTGTACATCTCCATCTTATCTATATGCATGTAATACAATCTTTCTAATCCGCATATCTGGTTCACTCTGCCCATCCAATCCTCCTCTGTTGGCACCTCTCTTTTTTTCCAGAACCTGGGTATCAGACTCTTCGCTGCACTCAAGTAATGCCATATCCCCAAGGCCTTATATAATTTCACTGGAAGCTCTGTGATATGGAGGAGACATAACTCTGGGTCTAATCCAATATTAATTTTAGTGATTTTCCTTACTAAATAAATTATTTTCCGCCAGAACACCTGTATTCTTGAACACTCCCACCACATATGATACCACGTACCTATCTCTCCACAACCTCTCCAACACATCCGTGAAATCTCCCCATTCAATTCATGCTCTACATTAGGTGTAATGTGCCATCTCACCAAACACTTGTAATTTTTTTCCACCTCTCGCATACTAATATTTTCGTGAATTAATCTGAACATTTTCCTTTGCTCCTCTTCATCTATTTCCCTTCCCATATCTCTTTCCCATTTCTCTATATATATTAATTTTATATCAGTGTCTAATTCGGTTAATATTTTATATATTTTTGCAATTCCGTGTCTCCCATCTCCCCGTGCGTCCAACAATCTCTCCAATGGATTCCACTCTTTTCTAGTTCTCATAGGCTTTGGGAGATTTTCAAAGAAATGTTTCAGTTGGTAATATCGGAATCGATCCATCTTATTGAAAACTTCTCCCTTTTTTTTCTCCATATGATCCCAATTCCTCCCCAACCATTATATCTCTCAATTGTGCCTCTTGTTTTATAATCCATTTTCCTGAGATGTTTTCCTGCCCAGGGGTAAAATATTTTGTGTTCCTTAGTGGCATTAACTGTGAATTAAAAACCCATCCCCTCTGTCTGTGTAACATTTCCCACACTCTCAAAACATTAAAAGTATACGTGCTTGTGCTTTCCTCTAATCCCCTATATTGTGCTGGCACCCATATAATCTTACTTAAATTTGATCCACTCAGTGTATGCCAATCATTGCATTTGAGCGCGCTGCCCTGGCTGTTTTTTTTTTGGATCACGCTGCAGAGTCTCTGCCGCCCGAGAGGAGGGAGGGGAGCGGGCGCCCGGCACACAAGAGCCGCATTAAAGCGTGTAAAGAGCCACATGTGGCTCGCGAGCCGCGGCTTGCCGACCACTGGTCTAGCCTGTAGAGGTCTGTGCGTCCCTCCAAGGATATGCCTCCTCAGACCATCACTGACCCACCACTAAAACGGTCATGCTGAATGATGTTACAGGCAACATAACGTTCTTCACGGCTTCCCCAGACCCTTTCACGTCTGTCACATGTGCTCAGGATGAACCTGCTCTCATCTGTGAAAAGCACAGGGTGCCAGTGGCAAACCTGCCAATTCTGGTGTATACACACACACACACACACTATAAAAATCTAAAATAGAGGTGTTTTTCTATTGAAGTTAATAAGGGTCATTTTTGCATTGATGTCATTTATTACTGGCACTTTTTTTTTTTAAATCAGCAGAATGCTGATAACCCTATTTTCGGCAACCGATATATCGGCATATCGCTAGTTTTTTTGCTCTCTGGGTCAACTGTGGGTAAAGGATTTTGTATATGGAGGCTTCCCCATTTGTTTGTTTTTTTTTTTCTATTGGATAAACTGGATCGACTTGTGTCTTTTTAGTCTATGGAAGGAAAGGAACAGGGAAGGATGGGGGGTCCTTAGAGGTGTCTTATGCTGTAGTGAGGGTGGTTCAATTCCTGGGTCAGAAACGGAGCAACCCATTGGTATGTGGACATGAGACAGGAAATATATATATAGTATATCAATCCAGCAAAGTTATCACATTCCAAAACTCCTTGCTTAATATGTTGAATTTATTTCAAGTAAAACAATTGCATAACAGTTCTAAGCATCCAATCGCATGCATCTGATGATAACGTGCTCGTAGCATGAAACGCTTTAGGATGGAGCCTAGCCGGTGACGTCACGCCGCTCGGGCCATGTGGAGGCTGGTGGCCATCTTTACTACTGTACATGCTGTGAGTGTATTACCTTTTGTGGGTTCATTAATAAATTAAAAATACTGCACTATAAAGATCTTTGTCCAGGCTCGTTTTATTACGAGCCCCCCCCCCCTTTCAAGGTCGATTCCCTTATTGGGTTCCATATACCTGTCACTGTGATGGTTTCCTTACTGGATAGCTGAATATTAGAGATGAGCGAATCGAACCAGGCGAAGTGGAATTCGATTCGAATTTCAGGAAAAATTCGATTCGCGTCGAATCCGAATATTAGCCTACTTCGGGTGCGCGAATCGGATTTTTCCCGATCAGCCGGCAAAAGTGTCCCTGCAGAGAGCTCCGCTATTTCTGACAGTTCTCTGACAGTTCCTTCACATGTACAGCGGTTGAAACATTGTATCTATTTGTTTCCATTTAGGATACAGATGTTTTTATTCGGAAACAGATACAATGTTTCAACCGCTGTAAATGTGAAAGTCAGAGAACTGTCAGAAATAGAGGAACTCTGCAGATACACTTTTTGCCGGTTTGAAACCGCTGTATGGAGTGAATGTCACAGAACTGTCAGAAATAGCCTATTTCTGACAGTTCTGTGACATTCCCTCCATACAGCGGTTGAAACTCCTTCTTCTCATCCTTCTCTCTCCTTCTTCTCATCCTTCTCCATCTTCTCATCCTTCTCCTTCTCCTTCTTCTCATCCTTCTCCTTCTCCTTCTTCTCATCCTTCTCCTTCTTCTCATCCTTCTTCTCATCCTTCTCCTTCTTCTCATCCTTCTTCTCATCCTTCTTCTCATCCTTCTCCTTCTTCTCATCCTTCTCTTCTTCTCATCCTTCTTCTTCTCATCCTTCTCCTTCTTCTCATCCTTCTTCTCATCCTTCTCCTTCTTCTCATCCTTCTTCTCATCCTTCTCCTTCTTCTCATCCTTCTCCTTCTTCTCATCCTTCTCCTTCTCCTTCTTCTCATCCTTCTCCTTCTCCTTCTTCTCATCCTTCTCCTTCTCCTTCTTCTCATCCTTCTCCTTCTCCTTCTTCTCATCCTTCTCCTTCTCCTTCTTCTCATCCTTCTCCTTCTCCATCTTCTCATCCTTCTCCTTCTTCTCATCCTTCTCCTTCTCCTTCTCCTTCTCCTTCTTCTCATCCTTTCCTTCTTCTCATCCTTCTCCTTCTTCTCATCCTTCTCCTTCTCCTTCTTCTCATCCTTCTCCTTCTCCTTCTTCTCATCCTTCTCCTTCTCCTTCTTCTCATCCTTCTCCTTGTCCTTCCTCATCTCCAAGGGCATTTAAATTAAAGGTACAGTGTTCTGCACTAATTTAAAGGCTCTCTGAAGCCTAGAAACCCTTTTAATAAGTTAAATTCGTAGCGAATTAATTCGCATCGAATCGAATTTCTTCCTCAAATTCGGCGAATCAGCCGAATTGAATTTTTGAATAATTCGCTCATCTCTACTGAATATCTTTGTTACCTGGATTATGACCCCCTGCTGGATGGATGATGAATGTCACCTGGAGAGAGATGATATGTAATCACCTGTCCTGCTGCTGGTTTGCCAGATGATCTTTGCCTTTCCAGATCCAGATGACCAGGAGTGGTCTGACAACTCAAAGGCGCATACATTTGCGCTATCTGGTTAGTGCAATACTTACTCATTCACAGTCACAGGAGGCACGGCTTCCACCTATGTTGGATCATTGGATATTATATTATTATTGTGTGTGATTTGACATTTTATTTATTATATCTCACTTATTGCACTTTAAAACGTCACTATCTTAGACCTTTAACACTCGCCATTACCACAGCACTCCACAGCACATTTATATGTATTTGTCACATTAATTGCTTATTTATATATATATATATTTTTTTTTTTTTCTGATTATAGCGCTGCATTTTTTGACACATGGAATAATCTGACACCACCTGTGCAAAAGGACCCATTTGCAGGACTGTATTCTGACCAGTGTATGTCAGACCTTCACCACCTTATGAACACTTTCTGCTTTAAGACTTTCACAGCTGCACTTATTTTATTGCGCCAATCATAGCGCTTCATCCACTTATATTTGCTATCACTAATATCTATTATTGATTTATTATCATCATCATCATTAATAATCATTATTTATCATTTATATTTTTCTAGTCCTACACTGTGTAATTTTTTAGCACTGCACTGTTGTCTGTTTGTATTATATATAACGTCTAGGGTTCCTTTTTAGTGCATTTGTGGCTGATCTAGTTGGATCCCTGAGCACTCACTGTTCCTTTGTTCAATATATATATATATATTACACATGATGCTAAAGAGCTGTAACCCATTCATAGCAAACTCTTGCACCATATTCAAACTAAGAATCCCCATTTTATGAGCAATACGTGTTCCAGCTGGCCAACTGCCAATAATTTTGCACTGGGATTATTAAAGGATTCTAAATCTGATCACTCTCTGGCTAGCCCCACTCTATGCCAACCTCTTTTACAAAAATGGTGTACTCTTAATATTGTGGACATATGGGGTTGCTTTACTAACACTGGAAAGTTCAAAATCTGACAGTGCTGTGTATAGAAACCAATCAGCTTCCAGGTTTTATTGTCAAAGCTTAATTGAACAAGCTGAGGTTAGAAGCTGATTGGCTACCATGCACAGCTGCGCCTGAATTTGTACTCTCCAGCTTTAGTAAATCAACCCCATAGTGTCAATAAGGGGCAAACAGACACAGCTGGAGATGAAATGATCAATAGACCAAAATCCAGCGATGCATGTCCACAATACTCAAATCCTAGGAGGGTGGACAGCACTAGCAACCAGGTGTGTTCCAAACATCTAAATAAAATACAAAAAGGATTTATAGCACACTGAGCAAATCTTATATCAAAGACTATAGAAGGAAAAACATCTGTGGTTTGTCTTACTGTAAATTAAGAAAAATTAAATGAAGAAAGGTAAGTTAGAGCTGGGGAAAGGGCATGCAAATTCCTAGGACAATAGCAAAAAACTTGGCATGAAAGTTGGAAGAGGGATTATTTGAGGGTAGCCTTAACTTTTTTTTGTTTTCCAGTGTCCAAATCTTTGAAAGGCAGCAGTATAACCCAAGTGTCTAAGAATTACTACTTTCCTTTGTCCCTCAATGGAAGATAAATAAAAATACTGAGACATAGCACTGTATAGAAACCAGCAAGGCTTAATATATATAAAACAATAGAAAAACACGTGTTCCTATTTTTATGCTGACCGTCAATCCCACATTTCCCAAATAATTAAATTAAAATATGGGACACAGGTGTATAAAATTACTAAATATATAGTTTCCCATGCTTTATATGCCATCATTTCTAAAGCAGCAACAACAACCATTGGTCAGGATTCATCTGTATGTACAAATAGAGCAGATGGTATATTCATCTGCATGTACTTGCTGTCAGGAATGGACAAACCTGGGGCTGATTGCAGGAGGTGTATTTAAGGAATGACCAGGCCTGTGATCAGGGCCTTGGTGTATGTTTCCCATGAGCCCCTGTACCTGGTATCCTGTGTTCCTGCCTCGTTGTTGACCCTGCTTTGATCCTGACCTCTGCTGAACGTCTCCTGTTGAACCCATGGCTTGCCTGACCATCCTTCTGCCTGATCCTCAGTACTGCGCTGCCCGCTACCTGCTGAACTTGGCTTGTGACCCCGACCATTCTCTGCTTGCTCCTCCTGTACCACGCTGCCCGCACGATACCGACCCAGCCTGTCTGACTACGCTTACTTCATCCGACGATCCATCCCGCATGGATCACCTCTAGTAAGTCTGCCTGCCACTTCCCATCAGACTCCGTTCCTGCACTCCCCTGCCAGTACTCGCTACCACAGCCGGACGCACTCAGGGGTCGTGACCTGGTTCCAGTCTGCACCAAGTCCATCCCCACCATCAGGGGCCCTGGTGAATAGCAGGCTGGGACTTAGACCCCGCGCCCTGAGGAAATCCGTGCTGTGGGCTGCTAGAGACACCGCCAGGCGGCACCGGACAGTACCTTCTGGCCTACCTGACCATTCCACCTCTCCAGCTTGACTACGCCTGTGTTCCTGCACATGCTAAGATTAGTGGAAGGTTGGTTTGTTCACTGTGCGTTATATATCTGATTGGCTAATAATAATTATATCGTTATTATATCATACCTGAAGTCTGCATTTCCCTGTGTCAGTCCATACATTTCTGGTCATTCCTAGATTCCTGACATCACACCAAGGCCTTTCCTGACCAGAAGTGGCTGCACAGGGAAGCCATCTTGGCTTGTTGTGAAGGATGCATCCTGAGGAGGTTGAGTATTTGTCTCTGCTAGTCTTTGATGACGGAGAATATGCAGACTCTGCAGGAGTATACCAGGGATCAGCTGCTAGAGTGTATACGGGTCGCTCATTCCCTAGTAGGGCAGGGCATAGAGTTCTCTGAGGTGCAACCACTGATTCAGGCTTGTGCTGAGTTGGCTTCATCTAGTACCCCTGAAAGCAGGGATGACTTCCTTCCTCCATTCAGGGTGAGTCAAAAAGTATCACTGGTATGGTTGTTGGAGGATGATCCGGATTGCTTCTTGGAGCATTATTCAGCATGTTCTCCACATGTGCTAAAGAAGTGTATAAACGCAGTGCAAACTTTGACCAGACAGGCCTTGTGTAAGCTGAGCGTTGTCCAACCCTTACTGCAGACATGGTCAGACTTGTTACACCCAGCCTCAGTCAGCTTGAAACAAACCAGTCCTGCTTCTCATCATTCCTCTGCTCAAAGCTCTTTTCCTGCATTCCCTACAGCACCCCCAGTGACAGCCCAGTATACCCTGCTATCTACCACATGTCAGTACCCTGCTCCCACTCGCTGTACTATCCTGCCAGTTGACTTGATGCCTGATGACCCGGTGCTCGCTGTCGTGCCAGTTGACTCGGTGCTCGCTGTCGTGCCAGTTGACTCGGTGCCCGCTGTTGAGCTTGGTGACCCTGTACCCGCGGTTCTGCTAGATGGCTCGGTGCCTGCTGACATGCTCGGTGCCCGCTGACTTGTCAGGTGACTCTGTGCCCGCGGTTCTGCTAGATGGCTCGGTGCCCGCTGTCATGCCAGGTGACTCGGTGCCCGCTGTCGTGCCAGATGACTCGGTGCCCACTGACGTGTGTCTCTGCCCGCTGCGCAGCCCGACGTGCCTCTGCCCGCTGCGCAGCCCAATGTACCAGCCCCTGATGTCCAGCTAAACTGGCCAATAACTGATTCCCAGCCTGCTCCTGGAAATCCTGTGTCCAGCGACCTGCCTTCCTGGGTTCCCCTACACAAAGAGAAGTCTACCAGCAGGAAACCCAGCCAGCCGGTTTACTCCGGCAGTAGGATATTCAGCCAGTTACCTGACCTGGGCGGTGGAACATTTTGCCCACTAAGGACTGTTTGGAGCGTCCTGAGGCCGCTCCTTGAGGGGGGGGGTACTGTCAGGAATGGACTCAGTACTGGTGGTGGGACTCACCTGCCGTGTGGGCTGCAGTACCAGGGCTGACCAGCGGGTGCTCTCAGCAGCCGGAAGCTCACTCCTGCAATCAGCCAAACCTTGGGCTGATTGCAGAAGGTGTATTTAAGGAATGACCAGGCCTGTGATCAGGGCCTTGGTGTATGTTTCCCATGAGCCCTGTACCTGGTATCCTGTGTTCCTGCCTCGTTGTTGACCCTGCTTTCATCCTGACCTCTGCTGAACGTCTCCTGTTGAACCCCTGGCTTGCCTGACCATCCTTCTGCCTGATCCTCGGTACTGCGCTGCCCGCTACCTGCTGAACCTGGCTTGTGACCCCGACCATTCTCTGCTTGCTCCTCCTGTACCACTCTGCCCGCACGATACCGACCCAGCCTGTCTGACTACGCTTACTTCACCCGACCATCCATCCCACACGGATCACCTCTAGTAAGTCTGCCTGCCTCTTCCCATCAGAGTCCGTTCCTGCACTCCCCTGCCAGTACTCGCTACCACAGCCGGACGCACTCAGGGGTCGCGAGCTGGTTCCAGTCTGCACCAAGTCCATCCCCACCATTAGGGGCCCTGGTGAATAGCAGGCTGGGACTTAGCAGGCACCGGACAGTACCTTCTGGCCTACCTGACCATTCCACCTCTCCAGCTTGACTACGCCTGTGTTCCTGCACATACTAAGATTAGTGGAAGGTTGGTTTGTTCACTGTGCGTTATATATCTGGGTGGCTAATAATAATTATATCGTTATTATATCATACCTGAAGTCTGCGTTTCCCTGTGTCAGTCCACACATTTCTGGTCATTCCTAGATTCCTGAAACTTGCGTAAATCATGGCAATACTGGATAAAAAACACAACGCAAAAGATGTACATAACCAGTGAAATCTGTTAATACTTTTTATTATGAAATACAATTTTATCTTTTACTTTCAATATAAGCATAAAAACATTCTTTTAGAAATAGTACATGAGTAAAGCTGGGTACAACCAGTGGCTGAACAAAAAAACCTAACAAATACCTGCATCCACACAAGCAAGGTGGATGCAGGAATCTCTGCCGCTGTGCTATTGTATTTGGACAGTGGGCACTCCTCTGCTGGCAGAATACACTGATCAGTGCTGCTGCCAGTGGCTGATTGAATGCAGGTTGTTGAACAGGGAGGGCCACATACAGATCAAATTTCAGTTTGTGTGTACCTGGCTTTATTCTGGCATCCCGTAAAATACCAATATATTAAGGTCAATTTGTGTAACTATTTGGAGATGTGGATACTGTTAGATACTGTTAGATGTTGAAATGCTAACTGTATGAGTTAATAATATGCAGCACTATTCAGCATGAAGGGCAGCAAGATCTCTCCTGCTTCGTATGTAGTTTGCATCTAATTCTGGCTCATGTTGTCATAAATTGTTTGGTTGATATATATTGCTCAGTGGTGAGCTGGACAGGCACCTAGCTGTGGATTGCAGGCAAGTGTGGGCCAACTTGAAGTGGTATTAATGCTTTTCATTATTTTTTTTTTACCAATAATTATGAATTAAAAATGTTTTTTTAAAACATTTAAACTTGGAATAGCAATTAATTGATCTATGATGTCTCCTCAGCTTTGCTGTACAATACATTTGGAAAGCAACAGGAGAAATTGCTGATTAGCACCTGGGTATGTACTGTATACTTTATAAGGTAATTTGCCCTATCAACATGGCTTACGGGCATGGAGAAAGTAATAGCCATCCTGACCACTGATGTCCAACCTTGACTTTTCATTTAATGGAATGACCTTTAGTTTCACTATTTCATAGCCAGCCTCCTTAAATGCCTTTTCAAGTTCTTCCTTAGTAATGGCCAGAGAAAAGAACTTTTTTTGGCCAACATAATAGTAGGAAGAGTTGAGCACACTCTGAATTATTATGTGACCTCCTGGTTTAATGAGGTCCTTAAAATTCCTCAAAACATGGGTGAATGATTCTACATCTTTGCAGGGTCCTTCTAAGCAGAGGCAACTAATCAGGCAATCGGCTTGAGGCATCTCCACCGGGTCATATGGCTTCTTCTTCAGAGCATCACATTTCAGAACTTTTGTCACTGTTCTTCTCAGTTTTTCTTCCTTTCTCTTACAGCTCTCACTGTCACTGAAAGAACACACTATAGATTATTTTCATCAATATTATGATTGCAAACATTTAAAGTCAACATAATCCAACTTGTGTAACTACTACAGAGCATCCCATCAAATCTATTAAACATACCTACTGTAAATAACCATAACAATATTAAGTGAATTTTATAGTACATAACAAGAGGCCTGTTACTTGGTGGAGATTAAAGCATACAAATGCATCTTTACCCCACGCAGGGAAGATATGTAGTATTTTCCAGAAAGTTTTTCAGAACAGTTGGAAAGAAAACACAGTTCTCTTTTAGATCAAAATGTATTCTGATACATTTCTTTGGTAAAATAACCCTAATCAGTGTATATTATTTAGTCTGTGTGAAAGTTATAGAGCCTACAAGTTATTTGTCACACAAAGCATAGAAATACTTATAATTACACCCCAAAACACATTCTGCTATGTTTCCTCAGTATGGGGATACCACGTGTGAGACTTTTTCACAGCCTAGATGCATGGTGGGGCCCAAAAATCCAAGGAGCACCTTTTGGCTTTCAAAGAGCATAAACTATGCATCTAATTGAATGACTATCACATTTTGTAGAGGCTTGGAGCACCAGAACAGTGGAAACGCACACAAAATAACCACATTTTGGAAAGCAAACACCCCAGTGCATTTCCTGAAAGGCATAATGAGGCTTTTGAAATGTAATTTTTCACCACAAGTTTTTGAAAAATTAGGAAGGAAAATAAAATATATTTCACATGAAGTTCTCAATTAATAAGATATTTCTAATACACATCATAGGCAAAGTTAGAATTTGTCTTGAGGTGTAATTCTGCTACTCTACCTGAGTATGGGGATATCACATGTGTGCAGGGGCGGGCGGACAACTCATGGGGCCCCTGGGTAATGGGGGATCATGGGGCCCCTGTGTCCTTGCCCAAACTCAAAAAAACCTATGAAGAAGGTACCAGGGGCATCTCATGGGGCCCCCTACTGACCCCGGGCCCTCAGGCAGTGCCCGAGTTTCCAAATGGTCAGTCCGCCCTTGCATGTGTGAGACTTTTTTCACAGGCCCTATTCACATAGAGGGGCCTAAAATCTTCACATGCTTAAAGTGGCATAAATTGTGCATCAAATTTTATGACTACTTATCACATTTGTGGTGGCACTTGAGCACCAGGACTTTGCAAACACCCACAAAATGACCACATTTTGGAAAGCAACCTCCCCAAGGTATTTTCTAAGAGGTGTGGTGAGTCTTTTGGAGACTTCAATGTTTTGCCACATGTTTTTGGAAAATGCAAATAGAAAATGCAAATTGCTTTTTTACACAAAGCTGTCAATTTAATAGGATATTTCTCACACAATGCATAGGCATACTTAGAATTACAGCCCAAAACACATTCTGCTACTTCTGGTTATAGTGAAACTACATATCTAAGACTTTTCCACTTTTTTTTTTTCCACTGGACTGATTATATATCAGACATAGCATCTTTTGTATTACACAAACCAATTGTATCAAAACCAATGTACTGTAATGGTTGCCTCTATACAAGTGGTCAGGGAACATGGCTTAGTGTAGCGTCACCTATAGCAGTCCCAGTTCCTTTAAGCCAAGCAAGCCTAGCCTACTGGTACATGGCTGGCACTAGGAATGCCATATTTGCTGGCCAGGGAGTATAGGAGGCTGAATAAAGGAAGAACTCCTGTGGTTCCTGGACTGTAGTTGTCTGCAGGGGATGGCTGGGACTGCTGTCTTGCAGGAACATTGTCAGTTTGACGTGTAGATGAGTCAGTTCAAGCCACAGGCAGAGAAATCGTCAGCAAACAGGCAAAGGATTGGTCCAGGCAGCAGGCAGAATGTGGTCAATAAACAGGCCATGGTCAGTGTAGGTGGCAGGCAGAAGCAGTGCTGCACTGGTGTGACGGTGGTCAGGAACACTGTTGCTGCCTGGATTGGTATGGTGACACTAGCAACTACTGTGGCAGCAATCAGGAACATTGCTACTGACTTACTGTATAATAGTTGTTACGTACCTGGTTGGGGAGCCTGAAGTGGAGAGAGGGCGTCCTCTTACAACTCCCGCTCGGGTCCCTGGAAGTGGGAACAGGGGCGCAGAACCAGGAGTGGCAGAAGTGCCGTGTAGATCCTGAAGCTGTTGGCAGGTAGCTGGGGACCCAGGGGATCCGGACACAAGCCAGGTGTGGGTGCAGGAATGTAGGTGCAGCAGCGAGCAGGTGAGGCGGCAGTCAGGATGCGGGTCTTGGGACCGAGCACCAGTGCGTGGATGCGGTGGCTGACAGGTATGGCAGTGATCCGGATGCAGGCCAGGTGCAGAGCCCTGGGTGCAGTGGTAGGTGAATATGGTAGCCGACAAGATGCAGGTCAGGTGCAGGCAGGATAATATAGCAGAGTCAGGCAAGCCGGGTCAGTATCAAGCGGGCAGATAAGTACAAAAGGAGCAAGCAAGAGAATGGTCAGGGATCTCCTAGATTGTAAGCTCAAAAGAGCAGGGCCCTCAATCCCCTCATGTTTTGCATTGTATTGGTATTGTTCTGTCACATGTTCTGTCCCCCTCTGTAATGTACAGCGCTGAGCGAACTATTGGTGCTTTATAAATACTGTATAATAATAATAGCCGAGGTCAGTGCAGGCTGAGTTCTCTCTTAGTCGGGTAATGCAGAATACAGGTATCAGGAATGTAGTAGGCCAGAAGGCAGTGATTTTACTACTAGGCGGGTTTAAATAGCCCGCCTGACGTGACGTGTGCGCTTACTGCACATGCGCGAGTTTTCCACGCTACTGAACATGCATGGCCGCACGCTCCCGCACCTGCGCACTCCCACCGCTGCGACTCAAGGGGATCCGTCGTTGTCGCAACGCTGCACGGCGACAGGATCCCTGACAGTGCCCCCTCCTTAAGGGCAGCCTCCGGATGCCCAACTGGGCCATCTTCTCTGGCTACCTGCGTTTAAATGCCTCAATTAACTCTTTGGCATGGATGTTAGACTACGGCTCCCAAGAATTATCTTCAGGACCATACCCTTTCCATTTAATCAGATATTGGATTTGGTTCCTCCTCTTCCTGCAGTTAACAATGGTTTCAACTTCATATTCTTCTTCACCGTCGACGATTACTGGTTCGTGCGGCCCCACTTCCCGACCTGGGAAGGGGTTAGAGGGTGCAGTCTTGAGTAGTGACACATGGAATACAGGATGAATCTTTAGGGAATCTGGTGATATGAGCTCATATGCTACATCATTGATTCTCCTCTTTACGGGAAAAGGACCCACGAATTTTGGGCCTAACTTCTTTGAGGGACAGGTTAATCTTAGATTGGCTGTTGACAGCCATACCGCTTGTCCCGGTTCCAGGACCAGTTCTCCTTTTCTCTTCCTGTCAAAGAATTTCTTATTATCCAGCTGAGCCTTTGAGATTGTTTCCTGTAGTATTTTGTTCTGTTGTAAGAATTCAGAGATATTCTGGACTGCTGGGATTGCTGATTCAGGTATTGAATTAGAAATAGATGCAGGGTGATATCCATAGGT